AAAAAAAAAGACAGAAAAAGTTAGTTGGGTGTGGTGGTGTGCACCTGTAGTCCCAGTTGCTCAGGAGGCTGAGGTGGGAAGATTGCTTGATCTGGGGAAGGCGAGGCTGCAGTGAACTGTGATTTTGTTTCACCGCAGCCCCGCCTGGGCAACAGAGGGAGACCCTGTCTGAAAAAAACGCTACAGCACTGGCCTTCTTGGGTCTCCAGCTTGCAGATAGCATATTGTGGGGCTTCTCAACTGCAATAATCATGTGAGCCAATACCTTAGTATATATAGATAAAGCCATATATATATATATATATATATCTTTTTTTTTTTTTTTTTTGAGACGGAGTTTCGCTCTTGTTACCCAGGCTGGAGTGCAATGGCGAGATCTCAGCTCACCGCAACCTCCGCCTCCTGGGTTCAGGCAATTTTCCTGCCTCAGCCTCCTGAGTAGCTGGGATTACAGGCACGTGCCACCACGCCCAGCTAATTTTTTGTATTTTTACTAGAGACGGCGTTTCACCATGTTGACCAGGACGGTCTCAATCTCTTGACCTCGTGATCCACCTACCTCGGCCTCCCAAAGTGCTGGGATTACAGACGTGAGCCACCACGCCCAGCAAGCCAGATATATCTATCTTTATGTAGATATATTAGCCGGGCACGTAGTGGCACGTGACTGTAATTCCAATTAGGAGGCTGAGGCAGAATAGGTGTGTGTACACACACACACACACAGCTCTCTCTTGGCCAGGCATGGTGGCTCATGCCAGTAAACCCAGCACTTTGGGAGGCCGACATGGGCGGATCACCTGAGGCCAGGAATACGAGACCATCCTGGCTAATATGGTGAAAACCCATTTCTACTAAAAATTATCTGGGTATGGTGGTGCGTGCCTGTAATCCCAGCTACTTGAGAGGATGAGGCAGGAGAACCGCTTGAACCCAGGAGGCAAAGGTTGCAGTGAGCTGAGATCACACCATTGCACTCCAATTTGGGCAACAAGAGTAAAACTTTGTCTCAAAAAAAGAAAAAGTAGCTCTCTACTTCGCATACTTGTGCAGTCTCTCTCTCTCTCTACACACACACACACCCCAACCATCAAGCAGCCACATGCGTTGATTAAAGACTCACTTGAGCATTTACAGTGAGTTTTTCTGTTTCTGGAGAACCTTTATAACACATATCCTATTTCTTATTGTCAAGGAGCTCAGTCTGCACTTAAGCCCAGACTCAAATTAGTCCCTTCTTTGTGCATCTATCTCTTGAGACCACTTCTTATACTAATTTTGTATCAAGCAGGGTCCAATCAGGAGAGGGGAAGCACACAATAATTTGAACTGGGAAAGTTTAATACATAGAATTAAGCTAGCAGCTGGGAGAGGTGGCTCATATCTGTAATCCCAGCACTTTGGGAGGCCAAGACAGGCAAATCACCTGAGTTCGGGAGTTCAAGACCAGCCTGACCAACATGGAGAAACCCTGTCACTACTAAAAATACAAAATTAATCAGGCATGGTGGTACATGCTTGTAATCCCAGCTACTTGGGAGGCCGAGGCAGAAAAATCGCTTGAACCTGGGAGGCGGAGGTTGCAGTGAGCTGAGATCACACCACTGCACTCCAGCCTGGGTAACGAGCAAAACTCCATCTCAAAAAAAAAAAAAAAAAGAATTAAGCTATAAAGGGCTTGGCATTGCTGGGCCCAGTGGCTCATGCCTGTAATCACAGCACTTTGGGAGGCCAAGGTGGCCAGATCACATGAGGTCAGGAGTTCGAGACCAGCCTGACCAACATGGTGAAACCCCGTCTCTACCAAAAATACAAAATTAGGCATAGTGGTGCATGCCTGTAATCTCAGTTACTCAGGAGGCTTAGGCAGGAGACTCACTTGAATCCAGGAGACAGAGGTTGCAGTGAGCCAAGATTG